AAACGAAATTCAATATAGAAGTTCAGGTCAGACACCGTAGTAGACTGTTTTCACAGCTATCAGACCACATACCCACCTCTACCACGTAAAACCCCCCTCCAGCACAGCCATCATACCACTACTCACCTCCACTGCAAACCCCCTTCCGTGAAGCTCCTACCCTAAAATCCCCCCCACTATGAGCCCCAAACAAGATGGCCGCCATAGCAATATAATGCGTGTCCATCATCGCTGCTATAATAACGGATTTTAATCTGAAATTTTGGGAATTTGACCCGGGCCAATCCGTTATTATAGCAGCGATGATGGACACATTATATTGCTATGGCGGCCATCTTGTTTGGGGCTCATAGTGGGGGGATTTCAGGCTAGGAGTTTCATGGAAGGGGGTTTGCAGTGGAGGTAGGTAGTGGTATGATGGCTGTGCTGGAGGGGGTTTTACGTGGTAGAGGTGGGTATGTGGTCTGATAGTTGTGAAAACACTCTACTCACAGTGTTGTTTACATGGTAATTGACAGAAATCAATGAAAAATTATTATTTTGTCACATTCTGGACATTTAGGTTTGACATTGGCATAGTCATATTGTCATGTTTGGCATCTACAACAATAAGGGCCCTAGGCATAGGCCCTGAGCAAAAATGCTTTTTTTATGAACGTCACCACAATTTGACCTGAACGGCCATATGGAATAGATTGCCTAATGAAGATTCTTGAAAAAAAATTATCAAAACATAAAAGACAGGGTCACCCGCTTCACGCCATAAGGTCTATTTAGACGACTTTATTTACACAAACAGGGGTAATCGACCAGGTAAAGAGGATAACATAAGGATCAGTACCAAAGGATAACAAGTCCCTAAAGCTTTCTCGCACACACATAATATTTTGTATGTATGTATGTATATTTTTATATTAAATCAGCTGTCCACCTCCTTCGTGTTCCTCTTGGCTACAATTTTGCGGCGGATGCGGTCTATTTGGCCGTTGCTTCATGTGTTCTTGTGCTTAAACATGCAAGATGAGTTTGCCTGGATCATTTGAACACTTTCAATGTGGTGAGCAAACTTACCGAGTTAACATTTTGGAGGAAAACGATATAAAGCAATGGATAGAAGAGTATAGTGATATAACATACACGAATTGGAATGTGAAGTCAGCGAAGAATAATTATAACAGATTCAAATGCAGGTTTGTGTACAATGTCAATTCAATGACATAGGCTTTAGAAAATAGATTTTTTAGATATTTTTTTGTATGCCTTCATAGTGCTTACAAAAAAAAAGTGGATCAAGGAAATAATAAGAAAGGAAAATCCAAAAACTGCTGTTGTCTGGCTTCAATTGATATTTTAATTAAACTAAGCACTACAGATACCAAAAAAAAAAGATACCTAAATATACCTATTAGGGTATTTATTTCCAAAATTTTCTACTCTAATTTGCCAGGTTTCAGGTTTTTATTATCCCCCCCTGGATCCGCCACTGCAAATTATTCTCCAAGATTTTTGAAATGTATCATTGAAATAAAATGAACGAGTAACAAAAAGTAAATGAAGTTTGTTTGCTGATTTTGTGCCGCGCTAACGGAGTAACATTCCAACCTGCAGCTGGGCACTGTTTAACATTTTGACCTTAGATTCGGCACTCCATATAGTATATGTATATACCATTCCGACCTGAGGCTCAGCACCGTTCAACATTCAAGTACGGATTTCGGCACTCCGCATTAATTGGCGGTCCGAATTCAAACGGACCAATGAAATATGCCTAGGTGCCGAATCCTATACCGGAATGTTTAGATGCGGGCCGGACTTCCCGATTATTATCAAAAAGAATAGAGATGAAGAATAGCAACATAAAGTAATAGAGCATAGAACTGACTACAAATAACGGAAGGACATAATACTAATACCACTTGCATAATTCTTATACAAAGTTGGGTACATTTAAATTACATGATACTGGATATCGCCACATGGAACGGAATGAGAATTTAACACGTTTATACTTCCGTACTTCCCACGAGAGCTCCCATGGGTGCTCCGCACCCATGAGAGGTTGCTCATGGGTGCACCTGCCCCGATGCCCCGATGCCCCCATGTAGTCGGCGCCAGTGGTAGTTGGTCATAACAATAATTAGTTATCTGTTGCCTTCAGGTTTTACTCGACCGCTTGTACGCCGCTGAATATACTGACATCGTGTATTATATCAATTTGTAGGAAATTTTATTTTCTTTAAGTACCTTCTCTTGAAAATTTCCAACCGCTAGCGAGCTATTGCTAAAAAACAAACAAAACTCACTTTTAGGGGATGTTTCGTCAAGTGGAGAGCTGGGGACTTTTAGTATGTTAAATAGAATAGCAAATGTGACAGAAATCTGCAACTTTTAGCTTTAGGTGATTTTTTTCCCATGTTCCAAATAAATGCCCTGGACTATCTAGGTCAAATGATAAAAACAAGTTAGACAGAATTTGCTTTGCCTCTGATCTGTCATCATCAAAATTTATATTAAGGTCTCCCCCTAGTATCTAACCTGCCTTGGGTGGCAGTTTTGATAAAAGAATTTCAAGATTTTCAAAGTATTGCTTTAAGTTTGAATAATAGGGGGGCCTTTATATACACAAAATATATAAATTATTCTTTTTGTTATACAACAAGGAGAATTCAAAAACATTTTCAATTATAAGGGTATTAAATTTAGTTATGGGGGTAACGTAACATCAAAAGATTGTAAAAATGTCTTATTGACAAGAATAGCAGTTCCACCATGAGTTTTACTATTTCTACCATAGAGAGACACCAGATTATAATTTTCAATACAAAATGGTTCATTTTCTGCTAACCAATGCTCAGTTATAAGTAAGAAAGCTGGAAAGTTGTTATCTTCTAACAGCAGATATAAATCATCAAGTTTGTTCCTTAGCGATTGTATATTAATTAGAAGTACGGAGACGGCCGGCGGCCTTATTATTTTTTATGTTTTGTGCCGCACTTGAGCAGTTTGTGGAAGAGGTTGCTCTAAAAAATTTACCTCTGAAAAATTATTAACCTTTGAAAAAGAGTCGTCATTATTACTAAAGACATTATCATCTATTGGGACATATTTAAGATTTGTTATGATTTGTACTTTTAACTTTTGAACACACTGTTTTATCAATTTTCCAATCTTAAACAATCCGTACTTATTTAAATAAATGTTAGAATTCATACAAAAATCTCCATGACAAAAATTACCTGCTAAATCCAAAAAACCTATGTTAATAGAGAAAATTTGTAGTTTTTGGGCAACTTCCTTAAGTTGCCATAGTTATTTTTATATGGGAGGTTGCATACTATCAAATTCGTTCTAAAACACTTATTTGATAGCAATATTCTGTCATCTTTTCGAATATCAGTGTCGTTAAGTCCTGCTATTAAAACAACATAATCCTTCACATAACAGTCTGAATTATGTATAATATCCTTTATTGTAGTATAAGGTTTTCTAACCAGCTGAGTTACATAGTTGTCCCCCATTGACTTGTCTATAGCATCATATAACATTTTTCCGAAGTCATCAGTTAAAATAACAATTTTATTCTTAGAATTTTTAACCTTTCTTAAATTAACAAGCGAGTTCATAGGAGTTATGTCAGCAATATTACCATCTGATTGACTTTTTTGATCATCCTTTTTCGAAACTTTACGCTGCTTAAACTAGAATAATTCTTCATTGATCTTTTTATTCTCACTGGCATATAGATCATTATCATTTTCAAGTGTACTAATTGTTGTAAGCATTTGATTTCTCATTGACTTCAAATCATCTAGCTCTTTTACCAGTTTATCACGTTTTTTATCTTCCTCCAATATTGTCTGCTGCAAATTCTAGTTCTTCTGTATCAGTTCATCAATACGTTTGGCGTCAGATTTACTAGATAGCTTAATCTTTTCGATTTTTTTTAACCAAACTTCTATTTTTTACTAGAACTTCTTCATATTTCTTTTGATGTATAGTAATATCGTTCTTTGTGCCACCAATTTCCCTTTCCAAAGTTCTAATAATTTTTTCTTGTCTCTTGATTTTTTCTTCCTGTGAAATTTCTGCAGAAAAAAACATCGTCCTGAAAGTCTATAGTTTTCCTTCTCTCTCGTTGAAGTCTATCATCTTTCGCAATAATAACTTCGTTTAATTCAGTAATCTGCGTTTTTAGTTTTGCGACAGAATCTTCATGTTCACTCTCCAAAAGCTCTATTACTTCATTTAGTCTTTTGTTTTCCTTAAATAACTTCTCCAATTTTTCTTCATTAAAACACACATTTCTAAATTCATCTTTACAAGATTGACAGTAAAACAATAAGACTCTTTCACTGAGGGCTAATGTGTGAGCTTCAGTTGTCTTAAGTTCTGCACAGCTTTTACAATCAAGTAACTTACAAGAGTCACATGTTGCTCCAAATAATTCATTTTCAGCTGGACGGGCCTTATGCACGCAACTTTTAAAACATTTTGAACAAAACCTTTCCATTTTTATTTTTATTCTCCAAAGTTTCTGTAAATGTACCATAAACAAACACAAATTTTGCATCGAATTTTAACTTTAAAGAACTGGATCAATGGCAAGGTAATTAGGCCAAGTTTACAAAAATACAATACAAAACAAATCAATTCAAAACAAATCAAATTTGCAATACTCTCGGAGCTGCCGAACACAACCGTCTGGTACGACTGCTCGAGCTATCCCAATCGTGCGATCCCAGGTGGCTCATAAAATTGAGGAGAAGGGCGCGGGATAATTCCTTAAACTTAAAATGTCTAACACTATTTATTTTTTTAAATATCTTCCTATTATATTTGCCCACAAAGCGTTCCTGGAACTTTTTTTCTTTGATGCTTAGTATCTGCCCTAGAGGTTTGTAAAATCATTTCTGAAACATCCTGTACATAGTTTATACTGGGACAATACCATTCAACTATAGGTATTTCAATAGTTAGTGCGGAACGTTAAGAATAAAACAGATAAAAAGTTGATTGTAATTTTTAATGTATAACTTAGAATATATATGTATAGCCATTGGGAAAATTATTCTACAAAATATGAAATGTATATGAAATGTACCTGCATAAATAATATCTAAAAAAAAGTTAGGCTGAGGAAAACCCACCACCTTTATTATTGATAATGTATCTATGAAACAATTGATAAAATGTATACGAACAATAGCAAAAAGAATGTAAATAAAGCTTAAGGTTGACTCAAATTATGCTAAAAACAGATAAAAAGTTGATTGTAGTCTTCAATGTATAACTTAGAATATCTACATCCGTTTGGTAAATTAGGTAATCTATGAACAGATGAAATGTACATGCATAAATAATACCTATATATATAGATAAAGTTATGCTGAAGAAACCCCACCAACTTGGTAATTAATACATAGATCTATAAAACAATTGATAAATTATCTACAAACAATAGTTAAAAGAATGTATATAAACCTTAGGGTTGACTGAAATTATGCTTAATAAAAACTATTTAATGCAAAGAAAAATCTCTAACTTTAAGGGATAAATTGAAAATTATAAGGACACTTGAAACTATAACAACGTTTTTATATCTCATAACAGACACTAAATATGTACAAAATAACAAACAAGATACATTTCTACAAAATCGTTTTTTTTTTCAAGTGCAGACCTACAGTGTGAAAATAGGCCTAAAGCACAAAATAGAACCTACATTTCAACATTTTCCAGACTATACTTTCAACAATTATTGTTCTACTACTATACCAACAGTTTCTAGTTAATATGGATCCAAAATATAATAAAAATTCTATTGTCACAATAGGTGTATAATTTGGTTTGATTTTCTAAATCTTCTGGACATGTGATTCGTTTACAATTTTTTGTTGTACCAAATGAGGCTGTCCCAAGAGCACACCAAAATTATAAGTTCTAAAGGAAACATCCAACATTGGTTAACATCTATTTAAACAGCAAAAATTACCCAAAATAACTTTTAGTTGAAAGCTCAAATAACTATGTCTTAAAGTGCATAGTCTAAAATATTATGTACTCAACGCTTTTCAACAAAACATGTTTTGGATAATTTTTTTAACAAGTATGTAATATAAAAGAATGTGTTTTCTCTAGTCCAGGGGATATAGAAAGTAATAACTAGTATATAGGTAATTAGGCCTGTTGTTTTGCCTGACAAACCTTAAGGGTGGCGCAAGGTAAGAAAGCTTCATATCACAAGAGAAGGCCGCCCCTAAGCATAAGTTGGGTAAAGGAAGGCTTTCTTTATTGTGTTAACATTAATATGGTCCATTATTACTGGAAATAATTTAAAGGTATTTATTTAAATTGGCATACCCACTTTAATAATATTGAGCATTTGTTATTTGATTTTTTTATAAATCATTTGCCCTATTGTCCCTAAAACACAAAACAATGCATTGAGAGATTAAAATCATACAAGGTAGGCATCGTTCTGACACTCGATGTAAAATTTTTAATATCGTTTGAAACGGTTTTTAGGAACTAGGGACATAAGTTGGGAGTATAGTTTATACGAAGTCAATCCGAATAGCATAAAAACTGTGTAGGCGGCATCTTCTTATGAAATTAAGTATATGCTTGCAACAGCCTAAGAATTAGAATTAGAATTCTTTGTTTTCGGGAATTCCTGGAATGTTGCACGCGTATGCTTAATTTCATAAGAATATGCCGCCTACACAGTTTTTATGCTATCTGGATTGACTTCGTATAAACTATACCTATATGTTTATTTCTGAACCATGTTTCGTTTCATTCTCTGGTGATAAATAGTATACCAATATACCAATTTGAAATAGGATATTTAAGACACCTTTACAGTTTATATAATACTGGAATATTAGTATGGATATTGGACATAAAACATCCAATGATTGTCACCACAAACATTTATTCTGACGTGTTTATAGTAATTGTTTTGCCTTTGGCGTCATCAAAACGATCCATGGTCTTTATATCCATCATCATTGTCAAACCAAAGGTCATTATCAGCAGTAGAATGAAGGTTACGAAAAGTCCAGACCAGATTGGAATAGTGGTGAAGCCAACACAGTTGTAGGGGTCATCAAATTTCAATTGTTTTGTAAGGTAGGTATGTTTAAACATTGGCTGTACCTAGAAGGAAAAACATAAAGATTATTGGTTTTGGATAATTAATAAGGAAATAATTATTGCAATATTCACAACGCAGTAACGCAAACAACTAAACTACAAGCAAAAAGAAACAGTCTGGTCTGTTCCACAAGGATTACAGTTTGAATCCTCTTGCTGAAAGTTAAAATTTGCTTTGAAGCCGGTCCTGTCTTTGGTGGTGTTTGCCTTCAATATTTTTCATGATATCCACCAACATTTGATTAACTTGCTCCATTTCGACGGTTTGCTGTCGTGTATTCACCATGGAATACTCTATGGAGTGAAAAGTAACGGAACGGTCAATTATCTCTGAAACCACTGGTGCAATTTGAACAAAATTTCTTACCTGAACGGTTTGTGCCAAGCCGGATTCAGAAATCGTATCGACGCTATTGCCAAATTTGCCAATTTTTCTGAAGGCACTCATTTTTTTTTATTTCAAATACTCCACCTATTTTAATCTCAAACTATTGCTCTTGTCCTATTTAGTATAAACCCGAAATGACAGGTGACTGAAATTATCAATCTGGGAGATGTGATGTGGCAAACCAGCGTTCAAAACTGAGTAAAGTTTTTCACTTTCTGCTAAATACCTCAGGCGCAATGTTGAGAAAATAGGTGCAACATGAAAAAACCAGTTTGAAAATATTATCCGCGATGTTGCCAAACTGATCAGTTTTTTAGCAAGTACACTAAACTTCTTCTTTTGAATGAAACTTCTCTCTGATTTTGACTGGAATCCTTCATTCTTCTCTTTTTTTATCAGAAAGACAGAATCGAAGGCGACGAAACTTATTAGTCAGATATTGGTTTGCGACTTAGACCTCTTGGCAAACTGGTGTTGAAAAATATTGTTGTAAGAACCAAGAGCTATGGTAACAAATTTGGTAATAATAGAGTTGATGGATTTTACACAATACAGTGTTCAAAGACATAAAAATTATAATCGAAGAACGTACTCAAACTTTAAATTAAACGCCTCTGCTATGGCTCGTTTATTTTTAGGCAATAAAGAATTCCATACCTACCAAGTTTAAAAATAAGTATTAGTGTCTGAGATTTTGGGAGCAGCACATTAATGAGTTTAACACATAAATTCATGTAATGATTTTGATTTTTTTCGAATCTGCTCTGTGAATGACCTGACAGGCAAAATGTTGAAAATAGTAATTTTCTTTCTATTTCCATGCCCAACAAACAATCAAGGTTAAAATTACTTCCATTTGACCACTGAACTGGTCGAAAATTTTGCATGACCAATTTCAAATAGGGATTATTTACTTCCATTTGATTTCCTTTTTCCCAAAGTGGGGAATAGAACTGAAGTAATTTAGAAGTCGATATTAGGTTGATAAGGTATTTATAACCAATTGGTCAAAAATACCAAAAAGAAAATATAGTACTGTTTAGGGTATTTTGTGGTAAATCCGCAGACATTTATTCCTATGGTATGACATAAATCTGACCTAAATCTAACAACAATCACCAAAACACGCTCTCCGTCTTTTTCTTTTCAAAATAATAGAAACCTATTGGTTATAAATATGATGACTGCTGGTGTTTGAGGTTTAAATCTTGCCTTTAGTTAAACTTGTTGAAGTAATGGCTTCCGTATACCGTATAGTAATGATTCAATGGAATTAATTGTAGTTAGTAGGTATACCCAGCACTGTGAAACAAAAATTCTATGCGGAGCGATCTTTTTCGTGAAATGTGGACAAAATATTCCCACAAAATTAAGGCGCCCTTGAAATAAACGTTTTCGAGGAATTTTATTAATTATTTTTGTTGATATTCTGATACTCACATAACCTCAAAATAAATTTGCTTTGTTTTTAGAAGTAAGTAGTTAACCATATACCCTGAAATGTGTTTTTATTTTATTTACTTGTTTTTGGAAGGGCTAAAATGATATATTTCAAACATATTATAGAATATTTTTGGTTGAATTTTGATAATAGTGGATGAATTAATATGGCTCCTTTTACAATTTCGACCTATAGGGACTTTTTCCCATAATTATTAACCAATAGCATATATTTTCCAGAATGCAGGCCCGAATAAACGTGCATTATTAACTTTGTGGTTAAATTTACCCATTTTAAGACCTAAAAATTACTTTTAGGTAAATTTAAATAAAGGTCGGAACTAGGTCCGATAACCGATAATGTATAAATGAAAGCGCCCCTGCTGAATCTCATTAAACCTCATTTTCGTAGGCCAATTTTATGTAATCAGCATCAACATTCTGATTACCACTAATATCATCAACACTACTTGTTGAAATTGTTGACTTTTTGTTAAATGAACATTTGGAAATGTATGAGGTGATACAATCTATTTCGGTGATATAGGTCTTTGAGTGGCAGAATTCTTTTTAACTTCTCTATAGTACTGTGACGTGTTCCTTTAAGCCTTGGTCCTTCTGGTTTTCAACTTTTTAGACATGTTCTTGAAACTAACAAGGGCGAACGAACACACTTAGGAAACGCAACCACAGCAAAGATATTATTTAGGTTATAGGTTATAACACAAGAAAGTCTAATTTAGAAGAAAACATAGCAGTGGGACAAATATTTGTCATTGAAAGCTTTTTTTGGGAGCATTAACTTTGAGAACATTTTTGCAAGTAATTTTTGACCTTAATTAAGACTTTTATACCTATAGGTCTCTGGAACTAGAACTATTTTCTTTAAAGTCCAGTTACAAAGTTGAAATTAGGCCAAATATTTACCAAAAAAATCCTTTTAACCTCAAGGTCTGTAATAAGGCTATTTAGCAGACACTTTGACCAATTTTTTACCAATATACCTAAATAACTTGGAAGGATTTTTTCTTGGTAATAAATGGGATAATTTTTACTTGCTAGGATGACAAAAAAAAAACCTAACTTTGATTACCTATTTTAGGTAGATATTGAGTAAGTTATGACCCCTTAAATTGGGTTTGAAAACCTGAATTCTTTAAGAGCTTTTAGAAGGTGAATATTTAGTAGTTTTGAACCAATAGCTTCAACTTCTTAGTCAAATGTCTTCTAGGACTATAATCAGGTATACCATTACTAGTTTTGGAATTCCAGCTCAACACTTGAAGACATATTTTACTTTAATAACATTATTTAAGGAAATAATTACTAAAAGTTGACTAATTTAGTTAACTTTTTCTTGAGTGGTAGTCTATTGCACCAAAATGCTAGTTGGGTGGCGACTTTCTCAAAGCTGTTAATTCATTTGGACGTTATAGTTATTTACCTAACAAATGCGGAAAGTGATACTTTACCGCAGAGTTTGGTCAAGCCGTGAAGGGCGATAAAGGCACTTCCCGCATTAGTTAGGGACCAAATTTTACCTATGAGCATCTACATCTCCAAACGTCAAAATGAATTAAAAGCTTTGAGAAAGTCGCATTGGAAATAGAAAGGAAATTATTTTCAACAGTCACATCATTCACAAAGGAAATTCGAAAAAAATCAAAAGCATTCCGTGAATTTCTGTGTTAAGTTTATTGATGCGTTACTGCTCAAATCTTAGACACTAATAATCATTTTCAAACTTGGTAGGTATGGAATTCAATAGCTCTGTTCCAACCGACATGAGAACCGTTCTAGAACAGTAATTTCCAGTCGATCAATTCATTTGTCAAGTAGGATGAACGTTCAACTTATTGAAAAATAGGTGCTCAACTGGAACGGTTCTCATTTCAGTTGGAACAGAGCTTTTATTTCCCAAAAATAAACAAGCAATAGACTATAGATATCAAATAATTGAGGAGTTCATTTCAAAGTTGCAATATTCGATTAAGTTCTTGGATTACAGTAATTTTTATGTCTTTAAACACTGTATTGTGATTTTAAAATCCATCAACCCTGTATTATCAAATTTGTTACCAGAGCCCCCCACCAAATAACATTTATCCACCGCCAGTTGGCGAAGAGGTCTAGGTAGCAAACCAGTATCTGACTAATAAATTTAGTCGCCTTCCATTTTCTCGATCTGATAAAAAAAAGAGAAAAACGAATGATTGCAGTGAAAATCAGAGAGAGATTTCATTTAAAACAAGTTTAGTGTACTTGCTGAAAAATTGGTCAGCTTGGCAACATCGTCATTATTTATAATTTTTAAACTGGGCCTTCAATGTTCCACCTATTTTCTTAAAATTTCACTCAGTTTTGAACGCTGGTTTGCCACATCTCCCTGACATTTCGACTTTATATTAAATAAGACAAGAGCTATCGTTTGACGTTTGAGATTAAAATAAAAGGCGTGCTTCATTTGAAATAAAAAAAGATTGCGTGCCTTCAGAAAAAATGGTAAATTTGGCAACAGCGTCGATACGCTTTCTAAATTTGGCTCGTCAAATAACGTTCAGGTGCAAAATAATCGACTGTACCGTTACTTTTCGTACACTCTGTATATTTTTCTTGAAACGTGATTTGAAATCTAAACTCAAAATTGAGTTGCTTCAAAGGTCACATCAAGGACCAATATAGGGTCGTTGGCTTTATTTCTGCGTGTGTCAAATATATAAGTACACAATAACAGATTTAACTCACTTGAAATTCTGGTATCACAATTGTCATATCTGTGCCCTTGAAAGTTTGATTCCCACATGCATAAGAAAAACCTAAAGGTGCATAAATGGTAGTCGCAGTTCTATTGATTGTTTTTTCATCGTAATCTGCCTTTGTTTCTTGCAAATACCAGTATCCATTAACGGTTTTTGTGAAGTTGAAACTAAAATAGAAATGTATTCACCAAACACTTTCAAAATCATATTATTTGTTTACCTGACATTAATTGGTTTACTTTCTAATAAGCCAGATGCAGACAAAACAATACTAGAATTTAAATTCTCTTCGAGTTTGTAAGTTAAGTCAACAGTATGGGTCCTATAAAAAAATGTGAAGTGATAAAACTGTATTAATGCAAAAGTAATGTGCAGCTTACTTGCCACCAACGGTTACGACAGCACTTCCAGAACTGTAAAGCATGATGGTGCTGTTATCGAAAAATTGATTGGCTGCACTAACTACAGCTCTCGTTTTTCTTGAATGGACTTCTCCTGATTCAATCTATAACAAGAAATAAATAAATTGGTATTCAACTAACACATTGAAGTGAAAATAGTTATTTTTTTATCCAGATGACAAAACCATTCTTCGCCAATGAAATAATTAAATAGGATGGATACCTATATAAAATAGTGATGTGATGCAAATTGCTTGGTTTTCAATATTTTGAAAACTAATACATATATTGAAGCTGGTAAAAGATACACATTTTGTACAATTTCTAGGTATGCAGTATGCATATAGATTCGAATCTCACATTTGACACACATATCGGATTTCTTATTAAAAACCTTTCACACCGTTTTCATATAGTAAAGAGCATTCTTCATGAGCTGGAAAATCATACATGGTATAGTTCTGGGGTTTGCCCTTCAAAAAAGAGCAGTCCGTTATACGTTTGGTATACCCATGAATAGTTAGCACCCTCAAGTTTTTCATGAGTTCTTGTAGTGAAAGTTGGAAATTTAAAAAAAAAAGAAAAATAGGGGTGGTGTGCTAGCTTCATGCCGAACCCTTAATTGATTCTAGAGGAGTTCTGATGAAATTTCTTGGTCCAAGTACTATAGTTCTATAGTTCTTAGAGAGTTGCAGTGATAGTTCTGCAATAGAAGTTGATATTTTTTGAAATACAAAGGAGGGGTGCTAACTTCATGCTGAACCCTTAAAGGGGGTGTGCGCCAAAAAAACAACTTCATCTCAAAAAAAAGAGAAAAAAAATCTAAGAATAACAGTGAAAACCGCACCCCTCTATGACAAATAATATCGAAGGCATGGCTCTATGAAGGTACGGCATCTCACCCTATGACGGACGTCACGAAAGCTCAAGCGACGCACGAGAAAGTGAAGTAAATTGAATTTACATATGTTTTTCCTGTGTCACCTGCAATAATCTAAACAAAAACCACTCACACGTGCCGGGAACAATCAAATTAACAATGCGGAGCGCGGCTGGACGAAGCTCTCGTGACGTCACACACACTTTAAAGCGGTATATCTCAGCGATGGTTTATCGTAGGATAACGAGTCTTGAAGAGTTATTTTTTTACATTTTTTTTTACTAAAACTTTAATTTTTGGCGCACACCCCCTTTAAATCATTTTAAAGGAGTTTTGATGACATTTCTTGGACTACGCACTATTGTTCCATAGTTTTTGATAAAATATAGATATAGTTCCAAACAAAAAAAAGGCAAAATTTTCAAATTTTCACAATTGCGCTAGTTCTAAATAAGGTAGAGTAGTTAAAAAAGAACTGTTTTTTTCAATATTCGATCAAATTTTCTCAGTTCTGATATGTCGTTAGATTCACCTTTCCGAAAAAGTATTTATTAAAAAATCAGCACTTCCGAGTTCTAGCTTTAACAAGTGATTTTTAATGAAAAAATGGAAAAAATAATAAAATATCGTCTGATATGCTATTCAGAACTCCAAAAAAAACCTATAGAGATGAACTTTTTGGCTACATGAGAAATCAAGTACAGCTTCGATGTTAAGAACTGTTGTTTTTCGAGTAGCGCCCCTAAAATAAAATTCGGGTAATCCTTCGTGAGCTTAAAGATGACAAGCTCATGTGATCGGCTCGATAACTCCGAATGAAAGATCATGTGAACATCTGTCATCTTTTGGCTTGCGGAATATTACCCGAATTCTATTTGAGATCTACCACTTTGTTGCCGGGAACTTTCCTGTTTCCAGTAGCATCCCTGAACTTTGGTCCAGCTCTAATAAGTGATTTTACATAAAAGAATATTGAAATACTAAAAGGTGTTGTTCAGGACTCGGAAAAAAACACACAGAGTCAGAGAACTATTGTTTTGGCTACAACGGGAATCAAATACAGGTTTGATGCTGAAAACTATTGTTTTTCGAGTAGTACCCCTGAGTTCTAGCTTTGAAAAGTAATGTGCCTTTGTTGTTTTTATTCAGAACTATATCTTCATTTTATCAAGAACTATAGAACGTGAAGGAAAGTAACGGGGTACTCGTATATGTAGACTGCAATGTAACGATGGAAAACCCCCAAGGAATCGTAGAGGAAGCACGAGAGTAGTTGTATTCCTTTCACACCTAGGAGGAGCTCCGGGGCGTTACGCGCTTATTCCTTTCGAAAAGTGTTTGTTGCACCTGAGTGCTCAAGCCCGACTCAAACCATTCAAATACATGAAAGCCAGCGCATCTGTTCCTTTCAAATCGGGGTCGACTAACACCGGAGCGAGTAGCTCTAGTGTTTCAAGCTCTTGAAAGGAATACAAGTAATGAAACCAGAATGACCACAGGATGCAGTATGATAGCGCCTTAGTCTTGGATTCGGAAAAAAATCTTTATCGAAGGAAGATATTAGAAATGTGTTATATTAGTAACTGCAAAAATAGTATCAATCACAAGAAAGATGTAGAAAACCTAAGTTCTATATACACATATCTTTTAAACCAACGATTCACTAAACAATGAAAGTTTCCGGCTTGTTTCAACCACTAAGTCACTACTAAGGAAAATATTTCCACTCGAGAGCAAGGTTCCAGTTTTCGGTGCGTGTTTGTTCTGCTTTAGGCTTGATAATAGGTTCCCAAAGATAATTCTGTCTTTGTCAGGTGTCGAACAAAATGCGTGACGTGTGCGTTCTGTCTTACACTTTGTCAGCTGTTTGATGTGAGGGAGGTTTTTAAATTTTTTAATTTTAAATGTTGAATTTTTGTCTGGATCCTTGCATCTTCCCTTAATATTTAATAATTTTTGGCTGTTGTTATTTTAGAGTGTATTAGCTAATTACGTGTTAAGGTTTTCAATGATTACATGTCCTTACTGTGTCGTTCTTTACTGATTTTAAATATGACGTCTAGATGTGTGGTTATACCACATAATGACTTGGTTGACTACATTATCATCGCAGACTATTTTATTTTATCTATGTTAGAGCTTACATGCTAATTCTGGTGAGTGTAAAACTGTTATTGTCACTAAAAAATGAATACGGCCTGTAATAGATTCTTTTTCATGTTTTATAGTTCGTCCTGATGAAGATTATAATCATAAATGGAAGCTTGAACCTGGAATGAAGACATTATCTCTAAGAAGCACTCTAGAACTTTTATTACTTCCTCGAAGATTCCTTGCGGGTTTTCCATCGTTACATTGCAGTCGAACTATAGAACTATACTGCATAGACCAAGAAATGTCGTAAGAACTCTTCTACGGGTGCGGCATGAATTAAGCACCACTATTTTGATTAGAAATAAGTAGCAGTGATGTGCAAGAAAGGGTTACATTTCTTTAATACAAATATTAACAAATGGACGTAAATCTGTTGAGTTTGTAAATAAATAAATAGAGTAACTATACTAAAAAACAAACAAAACAAAAATGGAAAAAATAGGTAGATAAACCAAAGCTAATAACTTTTTGGGCCCACTCTATTTTGAAGAACTGCTCAAGCTCGTCTAGATTTTCCGGTTGGTGATCTCTTTTTTCGAGTACCAACTTCATCCAACTCCAGACGTGCTCAATTGAATTCATATTGGGTGATCGGGAAGGACGTTCCAGTTGATTCCCATTTTGTTCTTGTAGATATTCATTAACTAAAATTGCTTGATGGGGCCGCGCATTACCTACAACAGAACAACTAGAACAAAATTATCTCCATAGTTCCTAGCATGCGGAAGGACGACCGGTGTTGAGTATTCATCTAGCGAGACAAAAACGAACAATATACCCCATAAATAAAAATCTTTATAGTGCTAGGTACATAAAGGATCACTTCTGTGTCAAGTGCTGACCACAATAAAGTTTAAATTATGAAACGAGTGATAATTATTCTATGAATTGTACGCAAAAAATATACTATTGAACATAATTTAGGTACTTACCCAAGACGCATGATGAGCGGTGTATAATGCCAAAACATTACCATGTTTTTGTGAAAGGTTGTCATAAGTTGAAGCGATAAAGTCATCTGAAAAAATTAATATTTTGTTGATCCCTTCCTGCTTGCATAGGGCTAATTAAACACAGGGTGTTTTTAGGTTGGGGTTTTCCTTTCAACATGAGATAGAACTTGAAAAAATAAACGAATTTTTCAAATAATATTTTCTCGAAAACTCAAAAAAAAGGAGACATGGTAATTTCAAATAATATCGGAAATCAAATAATTCCATGTGCAAAAAATGTATTTAATACAAAAAAAAAGTGAAATTCTGACAAAAATTGTAGAAAATCTGCGAAACGATGGAAATTCGAACACCTTTTTCAAGAAAACCAAGTAAGTCCCTTGGCAAAAACTTTATCTAATACAAATAAAGGTACCTAAACTTCTAACAAAAAGTGTAAGAAGTCTGGAAGATAATGGAAATCAAAAACCATATCAATAATGACCATTTTTAACAGTTTCTTTAGGCGGGTCTGGACTCACAAATTAAAATTTTAGACTAGAATAAGGTTTTTGCATTCCCATTATCTCTAGATTCGCTACAATTATTTTTGTTAGAATTTTACCTTTTTTTTTGTATTAAATAAAGTTTTTGCACATGGAATTATTTGAAATTACCATATCGCCTTCATTTTTGAGTTTTCGAAAAAATGTTATTTGAAAAATTCGTTTATTTTTCCCAAGTTCTATGGCATCTTAAAAGGAAAACCCTAACTTAAAGAATATTCGTATATCCAGAATAGGCTTATTCAGCCATCAAAAAAAAAAAAGATAATCATGCTGCCAAGATCCTTAAAATACTCGTTAGCGAGTGAATGTTTATGGTGATGATTATCAAATATTGCAAAAATATTCCTTTGAGATTAAAGTCCTATTTACTTCTATAACGGAACTTAAAAACTACTAACCGTGACGCTTGAGCATATCAAAGCGCTGTTCATTTTCAGTGGCATCATTCAGGTCTATAATTAAAATTTCAGCTTCTGGAATTTTGAAGTTTTCTTTCAGTCTTTCAATTGAAATTTCGGCCACATCGTCTGATGCATGCTTTGCAGCCTTTATTGAATTTTGCACATATGGAAAATAGGACACCTTTGAGCTTTTCTTAACCTTCGAGAGATTGGGAAAGGCAGTGTTCCCAGATCTATCCCGTTGACCAAAATCTTCAGGGCTCAACTAAAAAATAGATAGGTAAAATTAACAGATCAATTAAGGAAATACTTAGCTTTTTTAGAGAGTGTAGGGCCACAAGTAAAATACTATTTTCAACATCCCAGCGAAACTTTGATTTGTTTTCGAAAATTTTAGCAAATAAACGTAGAGGTTTGTTTATAATTCAGGATAATGACAATATTGTGGAAGTTGACAATGATAATTATACATGCATTGTTTCTGGTGTTTTTGTGTTTTTTTCAGTTTACATGCGCTACCAAAAAAAGCAATATTCCGCTGAGGTATTGAAAATAGTATAAAGGTAAAAATTAACTATGACCCTTTCACTTGAAAAGTTTTTTTTTTAAATTTTCATATGATGATAATAATATGTATAAGAGTTTCTGATAAAAATTATTTTGGCGCAAACGTGTTGATTAAAAAAATATACAGTGTGTCCACTCAAGTTCGAAGCATATGGAAAACTTTTTTATTATCAATTTTACAAAAAAAAGTTATTCTTTATAAAAGTCTCTGCTTCTTGAAAAAATAATATTAAACTACTAAAACTTGAAATAGCATGTACAGGCTGGTCAAAAAATAGAAAAATATACAGGGTGTTACCTAAGTACGGTTCGTTACTTCAGGATGTGATTCCTTACAACATTTTTTAAAAAAAAGTTCCCATAAACATGTATCCGGAAATGCGTAGTTTCTGAGATACACGGTGTCAAAGTTTTAGAAAAAATTGTTTTTTTAGCTCAAAAATCCATTTTCCAATTTTTTTTTCAAATTTGGCAGGTTTGTTTGTGATAACGAAAGGTATATTTTGACTGTAATATGACTTGCATCTTGCATAATCTGGAAAAAATATCAAAGGTTTTAAAAAATAGTGACGTGCCATTTTTTTTCTACTTTTACCAAAAAATCCTGTATATTTTTCTATTTTCTGACCACCCTGTACATGCTATTTCAAGTTTTGATAGTTTAATACTATTTTTTCAAGAAGCAGAAACTTTTATAAGGAATAACTTTTTTGCGTAAAATTGATAATAAAAAATTTTCCCATATGCTGCGAACGTAAGTGGACACACTGTATATGTACAGTGTCTGTCCTTATAATTAGTGCGGTTTCTACAGCCTTAACAAAAAATAATTTGAAAAAAAGTTAAATGCAAAAGTTGTAGGGTTTTATCTCTATATTATCTTTAGCAAATGTCAAAATGGGCAAATGACAGGTGCCAACTGTCATAATGACAAACATTTGCATTTTTTTGAATGGAATACCCTGTATATTTTTGGCTAGAATGATAGATTTTTTTCTTCTGATTCCAAATATACCATACATGTTGATATTTGGTTCAGCTGTTTTCACGCTATTTATGTTTAAAAATGCATTTACAGTACCCTAAATTAGGTCTGTCCCGGTTTCTTATAACAATGATAGGGCTTGCTCAATTTAATTTTGAAATTAAATAGCGCAAAAAACTGCTGAACCAAATATCAACACATATGGTATATTTGGAATCAGAAGAAATTATTCTAACCAAAAATATACAGGGTGTTCCATTAAAAAAATGCAAGTGTTTGTCATTATGACAGTTGGCACCTGTCATTTGCCCGTTTTAACATTTGCAAAATATAATAGAGATAAAACCCTACAACTTTTGTATTTTAATTTTTTTTTAAATTACTTTTGGTTTAAGCTGTAGAAGCCGCATTAGTTATAGGGAACACACCCTGTACATATTTTTATTTATTTTTTTGAAATTATTTTCAGAGGTATTTTCTAAATAATTATCCCTGTGAGTGATCATCTACTACCTATAGCCCCTTATAATTTATACTGGGTGAATCTGAAACTTGAAAGTGAGGTTTGTTTTTAACAGGATATTTATCACACCAAAATAAGTTGTTTGGCTAAAAATTGTTTACATAAAAAATTTAAGACACCTAGCGAAGGTACAGGTATTTTAAGGTTTAAAGAAGACTCCAACTGTAGGTCTGTTTCTGCAGAAATCACAAACCAGTCAGAGTGAATTTCATTGGTTGAAACTAGTTTTCTGACTGTTTCTGACTGTTTTCAAACAATGAAATTCGCTCTGACGGGTTTGTGATTACTGCAGAAACAGACCTTTTAAAACACTCTGTTTACAATTCCTCAACAAAAAAAAAAAACAAAAAAGCCATTATCAGTCCAGCATAATGAGTCTAATTCCATAATAGGTAATCTACAGTTGCATTTTTTCATCAGAAAAATCAATCAAATACTCCTTTTTTCATTTTCAATCTATTAATTTTCATTAAAGTGAAACAAAGAAATGTTATCTTAATTTTTTCATATAGACAATATTTTGCCAAACAACTTATTTTGGTGAGATAAATATATACCCGGCTAAAAAAAAAAACCTCACTTTCAGATTCACCCTGTCTGTTAGACCCAGAATAGGAAATGTCTTGGGAAATAATGACCCAAATGTGTTATACAATATAACTAATTTTTTACCTTAATGTACCAGAACTCTTTTTTATTACATATTTTATCTAAAAACTAAACGCGTAAAACGCAGTAGAGTCGAGTTCTGAAAACCAAAAAAAAAAAACAAATAAATGATTTCCTTAGAAAATTTGGAAAATTGGATCTAGAAATATATATAAATGAATAACGTTTTTATTTCAGAAAAAGAAATACAATGAGAATGATGGAAAGATTGAATATTAGTTATTCTTACACGGAACCTAACATCGAATAATTAACACAGTTTAAAAAACTATCTTTTGATTTTATTGCTGAACAACAAAATAGTTATCCCTGAAATTTGTGCTTAACGTGCATAGCGAATTCTTGTACGTCAATATCTTTTGATATTGTTGCCAAACAGCATAGAAAATAGTTATCCCTGAAATTTGTGCTTTACGTGCATAACTAATTTTTATACGTATTATTGAGGTTTACGATTTTGGCTTTGGAAATACGCATTATTTTCAACAGTAGGTTGCATGCTGTCAAGCCAACGGTTGGCTGTTCTTCAGATTTTTCTGGTTTACCTATCTGTGATTTTAGATTTCCGACGCGGGTTTGGGGGTTGAAAAACTGATAATTGATATTGTTGTGTTGCTGATGGAGGTGAGGTTAAGGTGAAAGCCCCTTCCCTTACAGCCAGGTAAGTAAGCCGATTGGTTTTTTATTTTAATTAAAAGTTTCGTTCATTAAAATTGTTTAGTTTTTTTTTTGGATTGTAGTTGTAGTTAGTTTCAAAAAAAAAATAATAAGCTATGTTATTTCAATTTTACAAGTCTTGATTCTCCCAATCCTCTTTAATTTTTAAGCAACTAGTTTTGGGATCAAACAATTCTACATCCCATCATCAGGCTTACAAGAGCTGGAATTTTTTTTTTTTCTAATTCATTTCATGAACAAACAACAAATAAACAGTACAAAAATCTTTAAAAAAATTAAATTACCTACTATAAATGTTATGCTTTTACGATTCAAAAATTAAATAAAAATTGAAGAAAAGTTTCACACAGTCTCCCATAAATGTACATTCGAGTCTTTGTGATAGCATTAAAATAAGATTAAAATGGAACGATAATTATCAACATTAATTAACAAACAAGATGACAACACAAAATCGGATACAAACACTTCAAAATCGCTATGTTAATTCTATGATCTATAAAATTACTAACAATTTCGTCCTTTTTTTTCTTAATATACTTTTTACTTTTTTAAATTTGATGTTGTTGTTGGCGACATCTGCTGTATTCGACTTAAACCTCTTTATCAGAAAATGCAGAACCCGATCACATGCTTAATCGACCTCACTAGCAATAGTCAAGAGCTGACAGAAAACTGTGAAACCAAAAACCACGCATGACAGAACTAAGCGAAGAGACTCGCATGTCCACAGCTGTCACAGACAGACATCTATTGGAGACAAATTGGAACAAAAAAATTCGACTATAATCCAATTTTATTTGTGAATTCAGTGTTAGAAAATTATAGACAATCAACAAAATTTTTATATTCATAGACTTTTTTTACAAAGTATTGGATAATGTCAAGAAAAGAGTGAATAAAATTCCTAAAAACATTAACAGTTTAGGTAATTTACAGAATAGAAAGTAAATACATACATTAAAACAAAGAAAAACTTTTGAATTGCCTTTATTTCTACAGGAAGTTTATTGTATAATTTAATTGGAAAGATAATTGGGCTATTTGCCACCTTAGACAACTTAAGCCAGGGACACATCTATCATGCATTCTTCGGATCCGACTCCGATCATACCATCAAGGTCCTTATTCTTGGAACAGGGGAGCAGAATACTCGTTCTTCTGGGAACGCTGCTCCCTGCTCCAAGAATAAGGACCCTGATTATATGATCGGAGTCGGATCGGACGAATGCATGATAGATGTGTCCCGGGCTTTACGCCTGGGTACGCTTAAATTAAGATTCACCCTCAGTTGATACCGAGTATTTCTGGATAAAGTATAATCAGACAGGTTTCACTTCACTTGCATAAACGAGCGGAAAACAAACAAACATGTAAAGGGCATAATTCCCAACTCTGGAAATAAGTCTACAGAAAAAAGTGTATGGTTTAAACAGAATTATTCCTATTACTCTTTTTCGAGCCTTGAAAACCTCCCTCGCCCTGGAACAGTTACCCCAACACAAGATGCCGCATGATAAACAAGATTACACGTAACTGTAATAGTAAAGAAGCAACAGCTCGGTTTCAACTTTATTATATTATGTAGCTGTCAGATAACATATGTATAAACTGGCATTTTTCTCGACACTGCATCTACCTGGTCAGACCAATGAACTATAGCTAAAAACTGGAATGCGCACACATCGCCATATCTGCCAAAAAAATGAAGCCATGAAAGACAGATGCCACAAGGGGGAATGTTGTTTTTTTCTGTTGCTCGCTGACATATGACGTTTTCGAAAGTTTTGTCATATTTCCCTTCACAGGTTTCATCAATTGGAATACGTGTTGGAAGCAATTT